CTCGCTCCTCCCGCACACAGCCCACGGCCACCCCGGCGGTTCAGGGCACGGCGAGTGACGTTTCCACCACCTCGTTATCAAAAATCATACATAAGAAAACTTCTCTACACCAAATGGCAGTTAAGAAAGTCGACACAGGTTTGTTAGCAACGCTGTGCGAGATTTGGATGCTGGACGAAGCTAGCATAACACAGCAAGGGTCTACAGCGTATTTATATTGTTACGTAATCAGTGTAAACACACCTGGGTTTGTTTTAAAGGATCTCCCACTGCTGCCTTTACCTTCGGCTGACTTCAAGTCCTTTGGCAGCCAGTACAATAAGATTTATGCATTCTCCACCGTGTCCTAATTGTCAATGTGCCTCTGACAGAGAGGCTTTCAACTTACTCGTTAGTTCTGAACATCCTCAAGGACAAAACCCCTGGTTACCAGCCCTAAGTACATACGGTCTTCTCTACTAATTAAGGATTCATTTATCCCCTTTCAAAACTCATTTACCCATTTTCAAGGCAACAGTCCTGCTCTGATCCATTATCTCTCCCCGCACAGAACCGGGACCCTCTCCTGCTGGCAGACAAGGCAGAGCTTGCCTGCTCAGCTCTGCTGGCACAAATTGCAATTATTGTGACCAAAAATTACCTGTATGCAGTTTTTTAAGTATTCTGAACTTCATATAATCTAGGTATTTTGGAGATGTCCCTTGTCTGGTAATTAACTCCACGCATCTATTGCTCTAGCCTCTAAAATATGCGAGTAGAAAAGTCAGGGGTTTTGGATAACCACCACTGTTCTAATGGAAAAGGAGAGTCATAAGTACTTGCGATGCATGGATTTTTATTTTTACTTCATGGCATGGCACATCCGTAGCTAACTTAACTATAAAATAGCATCAAATCCTGAATTAAGCGTTTATCAGCTATGATTTTATCTAGGAAAAACAAAAAAAAAGCTTCGTGGTAATTAAATATTGTGGGACTGAATGTTCACATTTCAGCTAGGAAAATGGCAGGCTGAAAAACAAACACTGGAAAAGCATTTGAAAAAGACTTGTCTCCAGGCCCACATAGTCAAATCAGAACTACAGGTAACATCACTGCTGTACCAGAATTACCTCTTGCCTCTGTCTTCTCTCCCAGGGTCACAAACAGGATCTCTCTCTCTTCCTTTTGCAGGGTCTCTGGGGAGCGTTTGCTCCAAGCATTTGTTTCATTTACCATTACCTGGGTGTACTAGAATTGCTCTTTATTTATGCAACACGTGGAATTATTTGGTGGCTTCCATGGCATCTCTGGCTTCCAGAAGAAAACACCTCCTTGAGATTGCACCTTCAAACTGAAGAAAGGTGGCTACGTCCATAGACAACACCTGGGTGCATCAAAGAGAGCAAGTTCCTTTATTTTCTGATTTAAAGGGCAACCTTCTTCACTTAAATACTGGATACGGTCCCAGGAAGCACAAAGCAAGAGCCAAAAGTGCCCAAGAGCAGAAAGAAATAGCAGCTGAAGAGAAGTGAGCAGTCAGCCCCTTCCAATAACTCATCCTCCTGCAGCTCCACCATTAATTTAATTTCTTATTTACCCTCAGCTTTAGTGGATTTGCCATCTCAGTTGCAGTTTTCTAGGTTATCAGCTGTTAGAAAATGTAGCCAGGCCACCACCTGCAGCTCAGGGAGCAAACCCTTTTGCCCACCGCAGAGCCAAACGCACAATCTCACATCGGCTGCGGTGCCTTTTGCTTTCAGGAAGGGAAGGAAAAAAATTAAAAATCTCATTTAAACCTGTAGTTTAGGGTTTGTTTTAAAGGAACTCCATCAACATTCGATTCCTAGATGGGCAAACCCTGCCAACACATGCAAGCCGGGGTGATACTGTTAAGAAAAATTAGCTCCTCAGTTTAAATAGGGAGGTTTTAAATTCTAATTCTAATGCTGTGCAAATTAACGTGCTGTTAGCTTCACGCACCCAGCATGAGCGAGTACGTTTGCTGGAGCCTCAAGGGGTGACCTTAGGCAGAACCTACAGCTACATCAAGGGAGATGGTAAAAAAATAAGGCAGCTCCATCTGTCAGCAGCAGAAAGGAGAAAGGGAAGCAGCAGCCCGGAAAGAGAGAAAGGCTCCAGCCAGCAACGTCCAGATGTTGCTGTCGGACTGAACCATCGCGTGACGCGAGATCGTGAGGGTGAGATTGCTCAGAATTTCTTTGCTCGGGGTCCCCCTCTGGAAGCTCCCAGCTTGAGCTGACCCTGCTCCCGCACCACCCCGGTAGGTTCTTTCATGAGATTCCCTGACCGAGC